AGCATGGAGATAACAAATACGTCTGTAGCTCAGCTTCCATAGAGTAATAAACTGTTGTTAAAATCCAAATCATTTTTGACCAAAATCAACACTTATGCACAAAGTATTATATTTTAACAATCATTATACTTAATAATTATTTGTCTTAATTTAAAGGCATGCAAATTGTTAGTTTTTATTGATTTGTTTTGAAATTAAAGGAAATTTGAAGAATACGGTAGATTAGGTATCACTGCGCGGCTTAATCACGCTATTGTGTTGGTCACAGTGGTCTTCAAATTCCTCACGAAACTGATTTTTTTTCTTATCACAAATTTGTCACACCGACACCGCAGCAGCTGCAGCTCATCTTGCTGATAAACCATAATCTAAAATTCTAAAGAGCAAACTACTGAGTGAAACTAGTAAAGACTTAAGACAGTAAAAATGTTTGATAATAATAATAATATAATATTACAACTTACAAGAAAATATTTTAATATTTAACCACAGAATAAAACAATTTTCAGATTGAACTATATAGTAATCTTACCGTACCTATAGTTATTGTTCTTAAATTCTAGATTTACTTCGTCGGGACCTTATATTATCTAACGCAATATGATCAATATACCTAAGCCTTTGGTCTACGTCAGTGTCTTCGGTACAGTATGCGGTGGTGCTTACTTAATCAAGTATGTCCTTATATTACCGATAAGATATCGCTTTACGCCCAGGTCCAGCTATCTACCTAATAATTTACATTGTCGTTGTTATTTATTTTACTTACTTTCTTTCTTCTAGGGATATGTTGTCTGGAAAAGATTACAAAATCAAGACTTCAGCTGCTAACAAAGTAATCATAATTACAGGTGCTAATACTGGCCTAGGCAAAGAAGCTGCTAGGTTGTTGGCTATTAAAAATGCAACAGTCGTGATGGCATGTCGGGATATGGAAAAATGTGAAAAGGTTAATGCAAACATAATATTATATCGACTTTGTAAAATCATTTACAGTTTTATCAAGTTACATTGATACTATTGGAAGTCTTAAACCAGTGATTTAAATTTTTTCATAGTTTAACCTTATTAATTTTATTTTACATGGTGTTTAATAAGTTCAGCATTTACACTAATAATTATCTTATTATATTATTAATAAGTACTAAATTATTAAAGTATACACTTTATATATGTAAATGTTTTTAAATTGATTATTGTCCTTAGAACAGAGTCGAGTTGAGCTAGCACTAATGTCCAGGAACAAACGACTATACTGTCGAAAATGTGATTTATCATCACAAGAATCAGTAAGAGAATTCGCGAAAAAATTCCAGAAAGGTTTGAATTTATATTTTTGATATTTATACATCCTGTGAAATCATTAAATTATAACTTTTTAACTAGAATTTAATAGATTGGATGTTTTGATCAACAATGCTGGGGTTATGAGGTGCAGTAAATCTTTAACCAAAGAAGGAATTGAAACACATTTGGGTGTCAATCATATGGGCCATTTTTTGTTAACCAATTTACTTTTAGACTCTTTGAAAAAAAGTGCTCCCAGTCGAATCGTTAATGTGACGACGTTGAAACACGGATCTAGTATAATTAACAAAGAAGATTTAAATTCTGATAGGTCGTACAATGAAGAAGAGGCATACAACCAAAGTAAACTCGCAAATCTTATGTTTACATCAAAATTAGCTGAAATATTAAAAGGTTTGTACATTAATTATTATAACCACCTATTTTAAATACAGTATTAATTCATATTAGCATTATATTATGATTATGATTTTATTGTAAAATCACTCTTGTTGTTTTTTATTATAAACACATCATTGGATCATTTTTACAACATATATTTGTATTCAATTTACAGATACTGGAGTTACAGTAAATGCCATCTATCCTGGTATCTGTACAACAGATATTTCAAGACATTTACCTTTTTACAATAGTGTTACTAGGTTTTTCATAAAACCAATGGCATGGTTGTTTTTAAAATCACCTGCTAAAGGATCGCAGACATTGGTTCATGCAGCTTTAGAGCCAGAACTTGAAAACATCAGTGGACAATTCATCAGGTAATTTAAACCTTGCTTTTTTAAATTTTAAAACTTCAAGTATAATTTTTATTAAACTAACCAAAATACAAATATTGTTTTTTATTGGAATATATTTTATAAACAAATGTATTATTTTGAAATTGTGCCAAATATCTATAAAATGGTATTATGTATCTTTTTTAGTAATTTTAAAATAATACCAATGCCATATCGAGCACGAGATCAAAAAACAGTTGATTGGTTATGGAAAGTTAGCGAAAAATGGACTAAAGTCAATGAAAATGTAACCTGAACTATGCTGTATATTACATAATTATTAATTTAAATATGTTTGTAAAATTCGCAGTAACACTATTAGAAATAAAATTTAATTTTTGAGTGACAATTGTTTTGTTTTTATATTCTACATAGCTTCTCAGAATCTTGTTTAATCCCACTTGTGTTTGTAGTGTTCTTCTTCCTTTCTCCTTTTCTCTGCCCAAATTTTTACATTAGCTTCACAATTAGCTAAAAAAAAAAAAATTATTTTGGTTCACATATTTGTATTACTGGTATACTATAAAATATATAATTACCAGCTTTCTGAATCAGATAAAATACAGGCGAAACCATGAAAGCTGCTCCGATAAACCATGGAAACATCCAGTGATTGTTGAAATGTAGTTTGAACGGAAATTGAACAACTTTAGATGTAAAAGTGTATGGGAAAATCATCTTKCGGCTTAACTTTTCATCGCCCATCTAAAAGTTGTTATTAAAATAATAATAAACTATAATTACTTATTATTACTTACAACTTATAATAAACCGGGTAATAAACTAAATATTGAAATAAGTAAATCTAACTTCTAAGCCTACTAAAATGATGTTAATGAATTAACTTAAAAACATTAAAAAGGTATTAAGGCAAATAATATATAATCAATAATGAAAATAAGACATTAAACTGTACATCGCGGACTTAAACTCTTATTCCACTTGGGAAAAAAATGAATTCCTGACAAAAACTGGTCTTGGTTTGGCCATAAATTATGACTACCTAAGTAAAATTAATTTATTGCTGAGAGGCAATCTAGGTGGTAATTTTTTTTTTGTTAGACAATTTATTCTAATTTGGAATCAAGTATTGAGATATTCTAACAGTTCTGACTAGGTAAGCTTCTCAGACAATACAGACAATAAGTWATCTATCTAAATATGCACCAAATTTTACATCTTTCAACAATACTCATTGACATTATCCTATTCAGGGCGGATAAGGTTAGAGGTGCTCAAAATCTAAATCAAGAGGTCCTCAGGTTWAAATAAYCAATGGGAAGACCAACCAATGTTGGAAATGTGATAACGCACRTTTTATTAGAAATAAAATATGTAATAATATTCTAGTACAGATACTGAAGTAAACCATACAACCGTTGCGAAAAAATGATATTTAATAGTTGGTAAATACAACAGAAACGGGTTTACCGATATTCGAGATGCACATAATACACCACCATAGGTAGTTAAATAATGCATCGCAGTAGGAGTTAATCACATTTTCGCAAAATCTACTTAATAATACAACGCGAATATAAAAAACTACTCACCGTGAATTCTTTTTYCTAGAAGGCAGCAGAAAAATGTGTTGACCTCTGTAATAGGGAAAAAGTCYAGAAGGGCGACACAATTTGTGAAACACAGAGGCTATAGTGGTTATTTAGTATTTTTCACAATCAACACGGTAGAGATATTTTCAYATCCTCTCCACTGATTGGTCGTAATTTTGATAGGCTAAAAGTTCWGAGATGTGATATGAAAGTATACCAACATTTCCCGCGTAATTTTAAATAACATTATTTTACACTTTAAATTGAGTTCAAAAGACCAAACACACAAAAACGTCTGAGGGATAAAATGCTGAGCATATAATATAGTGGACAAAAGATATCGATGCATAAGGTGTTCACCAAGAGATAGGCCTTAACAGATGGCTTGATGGAGTAAACGGAGATTTGGAAAATCGGGGAACAATAAAAATTTTATTTTTACTTTTTTTGATATACCAATGATATAATGATAATAAATATATATACCTAATGGTATACCAACTGATTCCCGGACGAAAAGTCCGGTATGGAAATAGTTGGACAAAAAGTCCGGATTCATTTTTTGATTGCCAGACAAAAAGTCCGAAAATACAAAATTGTCTAATTTGTCATAATTGTGTAATTATAATATTTTTTATATATATATATTTTTTTTTTATATTTTCTTATTCTTATTATTTAATTAATATTATAATTAATGATTGTTAATAACGAGTTAACAATAGCAGAATTTTTAAATAAGATAGGTCATTGCTTAAGAAAACGTAATGTAGATTAAATTATTATTGTATCGGCAAACATAATGCGTAGATATCTGTAAATATATCGTATAGGTACCTTTTTTTTWWWAAATATTATTATTATATTATTATTACTGTAGACTAGATTTTTTAAGACGTATAATTTTTTTTTTAATATTATTATTATTATATTTGGATCAATTTTTGTATTGACAATTTTTTAAAACATATAACTCATT